GCCAAAAAAATCAATAATCGACCATGTCTTTTGGTCGCGTTCAAATCTTCAGTCATTTGAAAAGCAGCTACTAATGGGTTCACTTAACATTTCTGTTGACAGAAAAAATGTTGATCTGCCTCTTTGCATAATATGGAGGTGACCGTGCGAAGGATTAGAATATAGGGGAAAAAAAATTCAAGCGCGTCAGGCATTGAGAAGGGATCTTACGCGACCCCACCACTAGCTCCTATTCAAAAGACTGACAATTTGGATTTAATTAAGTACGCGCGATGAGTATATTTTATAAGGTCTTAAACGTTGTTATCAAATGTACAGGCAGCCACACGTCGAGCCACCCGAGATCATCTAATTTCCCCAGCGGACATTGAGCTTTAGAAATCATAATTTAAAAAAAATATGATTTTGTGTGTGTAAATATAAGAAATAAATTTGGACAAAGACATAGGTACGATTTCGGAGGAGTGGGATTATGATAGGATCTTTTTCACTTGATAAAGTTTGGTACAGATTTGACACTAAGGAATCTCTTATCTATTAGACAAGTCCGTCCGTCCGTCTATCTGTGGTGCTGTTTCAGCGGCCAAACCGTAAGAGATAGATAAAGAGAATGTTTAAGTTATAAGTTAAGAATAGTCTGATAAGACTACAAACCGGATTTGAGTAACGTAGCACTTCCGGTTTTCGAGAAATCACGAATTTCAAACGAAACCACACAAAATCTCCGAAGTTCTCAAGTAATTAAATACATTTTTTTTAAAAATCAGGTTTTGGTGAACATTTGGTTCACTGGTTTGCTAGTTACCTTAATATTTGAGAATGAGTTTAGGATGATCCTAACATATCTTTGTACGGTAAAAACTGCCATTAGAATTTGAGTAGTAAATATGCTTCGAAGGCCATATTTCTTTTTTTTAAACTTTCATTGAATGATTTTCAAAGATCAAATGTACACACATTCACATTAACAAACTAAAAGGCATCATGATAGGTGTTAACAAAAGATCAGTTGACTATTTACCCTAAGACCAAGAGGGCCATGGCCCATGGTGGCAGGCTGCAAAGGACGGTTGCCAGAGATGCGACGGGCTGCAAAAGCCGTGCTTATAATAGCAAAAACATAAGTTGCAGATCAATTATTTTATTGTATTTAGAAATTTTAGGGGTGGTCGGTGTAGCCAGAATTTAAAATTTGCTTCTACATAAGATAATATTACAAATTTCATTAAATTTGTACAAGATCACCCTTTGTAGGCTTGTGCTTACTGCTGTTTTGTGTGGGAGATATACCTATGTCATAAATTCTGGAAATAAATTACAAACAATAAAAATAGAATTATGCAGGTTTTTTATTAATGCTGCAAAACATACAATATTTTGCAGTACCTAATCAATCGTTAAGGCTAGAACTCACTAGCGGAAAAGTAGTTTAAATATTATCCTATCCTTTTCGTATAAATCTCTGTGTTATAAACATGTATGCCTATTCACCTTGGTCAAGTCATTGCTTGAGAAGGACTTTACCGATTTTATACTCTTTTTTAAAGTTCTCTAAACGCTGTAAAAGGTTCTTACCGAAAAAACAAACAAGTGCTAGTCAGACCCGCCCATCTAGGGTTCCGTACAAGGTACGTTTAGGTACGCGGCATAAACGGCCATATCATTTTTTCACAGCTTCAAGAGATCACAGATTTCAGGATATGGTTGAAATTTTATCTCCACGCTTTTAGGATTATTTCATATTTTTCTGGGGCAAAGCAAACTCTATTGGGCTTGCTATGCCAATCATTTAAACTTTTAATTACTATGCCAACAATAATGTTACATATCCTATCACACATAATTTCAAAGATGGCAAATTAAGTATTGTCAGATCTTAGATATTGCTTGAAAATAATAATGACCCAATGGTTGCATATGAATAGCCTGATCGACCATGTTCTATCGAACAATTTAATGTTTTCTTCGATAAAGAATGGATGCAATGAGCACTATGACCCTTCTTATAACAAGGAAACAATTAAAATATGGATCAAAGTACCTTGAAATTGACCTTTGTTTTCAATGCGGTAGGTCATCTTTGAAAAACGCACGCTGTATAACGTACGTAACGTACGCCTTTAAACACATCAGGAGGTTTTATCAAGTGGCCAAGCGAGCGTCATATTTTATTTTTCTCCGTTACTTTATAAATTATAAGTCGCAAGCTTATTAATTTGATATACCTAGTCAGGTCATAAATTCTGTCATATGTTTAATATAAAATAATTGAAACAAGTTTATTCATTATGTAACCATTTATATACCAAAATGAACTTAACAAAACATAGATAGTCATAAGAATGACAATAAAGTTTATTCAAAATGACCTCCGTGATTTTGAATACAGGCCTTCAATCTGCGCGGCCAGTCGTCTATCGCAGCACGAACGAGGTCTATGTCAATATCGGCGGCTGCCTTAATCAAGGATGTCTTGAGTGACTCCAAATTGGGATGAGGCTTTGAGCACGCCTTTTCCACCAAGTGTTGCCACATCTTGTAATCTAACGGACTCAAATCTGGACAGGAGGAGGTCCAGTCTTCGTGCCGGATGAAGTCGATTTCACGCTCCGCCAGAAAGTCTTGTATGCTCTTCGCTCTATGAGCTGGCGCCGAATCTTGTTGGAATACCCAGTGCCTGTTATTTAACATGGTAAGAGAAACAGGTTCCACAAGGTTCGTCAGGACTGTATTTTGATACACAACTGCATTCGTTTTTACACCTTTCTCACAAAAATATACCTCTGTTAAGCCCCAATAAGAAACTCCCAACCATACCATGAGCGAGGATGGAAAATGAATACAATTGCTCGCTTCTTCACTACTGTTTGCGTACTTATCGTACGTATCTTATCATTTTGATTGTTGTAGCTCTCTTCTACGGTAAAAAATTTTTCATCCGAAAAAAGAATTTACCGATATTTATTCCCGCGTAGGGGAAGGGGGGGGCATGATGGGGTAGCTAAGGGAAATAACAAAATTACAGCACAATCACTATGTTTATTACTCTCATTAATTTATGGCACGTTAAGTCATTAATCTAACTATGATTTGGTACAGTCTTTGGAGAATCAACGTATCACATATTTTTATAATTAATAATTAATAGGAACATTATGAAAAACCATCTTGCCCCATACTATGGGGCATGATGGGTAAGGCTATTCGTTCTCACAAAACAAGCAAATGTGTATTTCTTCCAGATCTTCATCGTCCACGCCAGCACAAGCGTTGTGATATGATATGCTAGACGTCTCAGTTCGGTAGTTGTTAGTCCAAAAAGACGCTTTTCCATATATTTCAGATATGCTTCTATTTCACCTTCTTCCTTAGATGTAAATATAGATTTTTTCGGGCCTAAGGGTAAACCAATAGTAACTTCACCCCCTTCCTTCATTTTCTTAACATATCGCTCTAAAGTAGTCTGAGGTACTGCGTATGCTGCAGCAGTTTTTTTGTATCCTATCTCTTTGCTCAAAACTTTATCTACAGCTATTTTCATAGAATCTATCGACCACTCCCCTCTTTTGTTTTTTTTCTTATAAGTACGTACCATGATTTTACCTAAAAAAGATTAAATTTATGTTATTTATTAAGAAACTTAAATGAAGCTAAACCCACGACCCCATTTTGCCCCAATGCCCCATCATACCCCACACCCAACACCCAATACCCCATCTTGCCTCATAAGGCCTCTCTGAACAGAAAAATAAATATCAAATAAAATGTTTAACGGATTCCTACAAACAACATACCATATCAAAATACATAACACTAGTAACCAAAAATAAAAAAAACATAAATGGGGTGATCATAATTACCTTAAAAAAATGATGTTTCAACTTACAAAAAATTAGATCGATGTAACGCTAAACCAGTTTTCCGTTTGTTAACAAAAGACGCGTGCATTAGCGTTCACAGTTTCTCTCGCACTAACCGTTGGTTGAATGAGGCTTCCTATTGGCTTATTGTTTTATATTCACAGACGTCTAGTTTCTTCTATGTGTACGGTACCCCACCTTACCTCGCTACCCCGTCATGCCCCCCCCTTCCCCTACCGCTTCAACAAAGCGCGGCATCTCTTCAGTCTCAGGTCCATTAGACCAGCATTCAAACGATGTCCTGTTTTTCTTCGATATGCCCGAAGCCCTAAGTCTTCATTTAACACCCTTTTCATCGTGGTTCTGCTTAACCCCATCTGAAGGGCCAACAGTTTCTGCTTACGTTTGGGATTTCTTTGAATTCTCGCCTTCACAGCTTTTATCACTGCTGGAGTCCTATACAGACCGAGGGTGATCACTTTTTGACCTGTTATCTACACTAGAGTATATATTCAATTCAATAAACTTTTTTCTGGCCAGCATTCTAAAAGAAAAGTTTTTACTGTGTGACAATACTTATGACCTAACTGTGTATAATAGAATGTTTGAGAAACATAAAATTCACGGTACATGGGTATTTAGTAAAATAGGTTGGTGTTTTCGTTCAAAGCAAAAGAATAAAAATAATATATGCCATATGTCTAAGCAAGACAGTCCAAACCAGCACGCTGGAATACCAGTACATATCCTGGCTTCGTATCCGTCTTCCCCTGACCCTCTGTCCGTCTACTAACCAAGCGGATTGCAAATATTGCCTAAGACGATAGCTTATCGTCAAACCCAAAAAAAACAGCTACCTTAAATCCCATGATTTCAAAACTGTCCTGACTTATATAGCAACTAACAAACTACGTTTTTCTTACTCCAACGTACGAATAGGTACCAATTTATTCACTGATTGTATAAAATATGTTAAGTTCTATTGTCAACATCGATTAGGGTCATTCGATAAACATACGATTAAAAGCAAGGGGCATCTTATATTATTTAGCTGACTTATTCATACTTATCTTAGCATATGTTACATGCTAAGATAAACATTTATAAAACCAAAACAATTTTGTTGCCGTCACTTATATTCCGAATTTTGCCTTATTAGGTACTATAAAAAAAAACTAGCTTTCAAACAAGTTACTAAATCGTATAAATTCATATTATTGCCTTAGAATCATATTGTTGCTGTTCGCGAGTGCAGTGTAAATTAAGCTTAATTTACCTACAGGGAAAGTACCGCTGATCGAATAAATCATATATAATCAACGAGCCGTCGATATTTCGTTACAATCGGGATTAATACGTGTTACAGTGTATATATATACGAGCTGCAGCAATCATGATGCGATTACTGAGAGTACTTTTTTGTGCATACATCATGGTTGTAATTGTGAACGCGATGCCAGAACCGAAGGATCCAAGAGGTACGTAATTATTTTCTTTTTCTTTTTTGCAGTAAAACTTAGGATTCCGGAAACCTGTTTTGTTTAGGCTAGATCACTTTAAAAGGAAGCTTTAAGGACGCGTTCTTTAAAACATAGTTTAATTTTTAAATCAAATAGTTAAAATATATAATAAATAGAATAACCATTTGTCAAAATTTTACACATTTGAATTTGGAGTGATATTGACTAATAGTCAAATTTTAACTATGTTTCAAACAACACGGCCTAAATGGTTATAAAATTAACGATCGGTCTGTCCAAAAATTACAGCAATGTTTCTTAGTTGATTTTAATTGGGTTGGATCCTTATTTGGCATATATCCTTATTTTATATTTTATTTTCTAAGTATTTGACTGCTAGATTTCTAAATCAAAAGAATTTTTTATAAGATAAACATCCTCGCGGTTCAGGCATCACACGGGACATACGCCCGGACAGCGTAAGATGCCGATTCGGATCTCGTCTGATGCCTGGACCGCGTGGAATATTTTATAGTAAAATTTTCTTTAGATATTCTTTAGAAAGCTTAAACGGTTAAACTGAAGAGTGATTGAACCAGAAAAGGAGTTGAATTAACCAAATTACCTTATTTTAAAAATGCATAATTAACTTATGTTTGTTTACTGCTTTTGTATCCCACGCAAAGCCCATGTAACCCCATATTTAAATAAAAGTGATATAATGAATTTGAAATCTAGACGTTATTATCATTTTTCCAGTCTTTTGTTTGGTATTGTTAAAACACAATGTCCTACCTATTTGTTCAATAAACTTACATTCTCTCATCGTAGTATAAGAATAGCATCCCGTCTGGTATGTCCAACGCACAACACAGCGGCATTTCGTGGCAGTTTTCGGTACTCTGCCACGAAGTGTTGTAATAATTTACCTCCTCTTTTGAAAATAAGTTATAGTGTCGTAACTTATAAACGTTATTTTAAAAGACATTTGCTAGAATTACAGAAAAACGAAGTTCCAACACTCGGAAACTGCAATGTTGTTCGTTTATTGGCGTTCTAGTTTACATTCTTTTGTAATCATTATATATAATGTGTATGTAGTAAATTTTATAGTCAGCAACTTCCTAGTATCTTTTATTTTAAGCATGAATCTGCTCAATTTATAAATCGAAAGGAAAAAAAATACTTAAACTACTTCCTCGTGAAACATTGACCGAGTTGATTTAAGACCGAGCAATGGCACCCTACAATTTTTCCCTAGTATCCGTAAAATTTTATTAAATTTTCTTCCACTTAGGAAGTGGCTACTCGTACTCTCATCCCTACTTTTTATAGTAACCACGGAAGACCAGCGTCGGACAGTCTTCTACGACATCAGACATTTTAGTCACTCAAATATTTAGACCCAAATTACTGTATTTATGTATAAGGTATATTGTTGCATGTATTCATTTGTGTCACTGTATAAAACATTTTCTTTCTTCTTCTTTCTTGTTTCTACTTATATGTTACCTCTTTATAGCGTTACGTTAACCAAGTATGTTTAGTTAGTACCTACATTACGCCCTGTAGTATAAAATGATAATTACCCGTACACAAGTAATACGGTAGGCTACGTGCTAGTACTTAGAAATAATAAATAATTAGTGTTAGTTGTAGGGAGTTTACCTATTATAAGTTTTTTTTTATTACCTTTATTTTCTAGCAAGTAACAAAAAGGTTTCTATATTAAAATTCAACCAACATCAATATTTTTTATTTTTTAAGCATGTAACTGCTTGATGTTTAAATCTAAAGAAAAAATATCACAAGAAAATATTCACGCAGACCAGGCAGCAGACAGGACTCGAACTTCGCTATCCGGGCGAATGCACTGACCAGATTTAAACATCAAGCAGTTATATGCTTAAAAAATAAAAAATATAACTGTAATTGCTATAATCTTCTTTCAAATCTTTAATACTTGTAAAAGTATTAATTTGACATTGTGGGTTACCTACAATGCGAAGAAATGGCGTTGCCTTGCAGCTTAAGAATGGCTAGAAGAATTTCGACGCGGTATTCAGGGCCGCGGTAGCATAATTGGTCAGTGCATTCGCCCGGATAGCGAAGGGTTCGCGTCCCGTCTGCTGCCTGGTCCGCGTGAAATGTTTTCTAGTTATATTTTCTTTAGATTTAAACATCAAGCAGTTTCATGCAAAAATAAAAATTATAACAACATCAATAAGTTTAGACTAGAAATTTTCCCAAGGTAAGGTAACACCCTTACCTTGAAAAAATTAAAGAGATAAAATGCAATAATACTTCTATTAATAATCTTAAATACGTTAAGGTATTAAGTTAAATAAACATTTAATATAAACTAAATATTACCTCTTTGCGTATTTTCAATAGTTCCATTCAAGTTCTACAGTCGTCAGGACTGGGGTGCCGCACCGGCAAACGACACGGTACCACTGAACACACCAGTACCGTACGTGGTCATCCATCACACCTACATACCAGGAGCCTGTCACACATTTGAGGAGTGCTCCAGGAGCATGCTCTCAATGCAGAATTACCACGGTGTCACTTTGGATTGGGGTGACATAGGTTACAAGTGAGTAGCCTAAGATAATATATTATATTTTTATTTATACTGAATGACACAGCAATCAAAATGCAGGTAAACAATCAATGTATATTTAAGTATTATGTAATGAAAGGTGACTTCATGAATCATCTCTGAAGTCATTTTTCAACTTGGCGACTCTGTAAATAATAAAACAGAGAGAGAGAAAAAACAGCCCTTTCTGAGTTTCTTGCCGGTTCTTCTTAGTACAAAGTCTCCCGCCGCAGATTTACGAACCGATGGGGTAGAAGAGTGATTGAACCAGAAAAGGAGTTGAATTAACCAAATTACCTTATTTTAAAAATGCATAATTAACTTATGTTTGTTTACTGCTTTTGTATCCCACGCAAAGCCCATGTAACCCCATATTTAAATAAAAGTGATATAATGAATTTGAAATCTAGACGTTATTATCATTTTTCCAGTCTTTTGTTTGGTATTGTTAAAACACAATGTCCTACCTATTTGTTCAATAAACTTACATTCTCTCATCGTAGTATAAGAATAGCATCCCGTCTGGTATGTCCAACGCACAACACAGCGGCATTTCGTGGCAGTTTTCGGTACTCTGCCACGAAGTGTTGTAATAATTTACCTCCTCTTTTGAAAATAAGTTATAGTGTCGTAACTTATAAACGTTATTTTAAAAGACATTTGCTAGAATTACAGAAAAACGAAGTTCCAACACTCGGAAACTGCAATGTTGTTCGTTTATTGGCGTTCTAGTTTACATTCTTTTGTAATCATTATATATAATGTGTATGTAGTAAATTTTATAGTCAGCAACTTCCTAGTATCTTTTATTTTAAGCATGAATCTGCTCAATTTATAAATCGAAAGGAAAAAAAATACTTAAACTACTTCCTCGTGAAACATTGACCGAGTTGATTTAAGACCGAGCAATGGCACCCTACAATTTTTCCCTAGTATCCGTAAAATTTTATTAAATTTTCTTCCACTTAGGAAGTGGCTACTCGTACTCTCATCCCTACTTTTTATAGTAACCACGGAAGACCAGCGTCGGACAGTCTTCTACGACAGATTTACGAACCGATGGGGTAGATTCTAGACATTCATGAGTGCTTGTAACAGCCTAAACTGAAAAAATGTTTTGATTATGGTTATTATATTGTCTGTTAATTCGATTCTCTAACATGCATATAATCCGATTTTATACATTCAACTTTTCCAAAATTGATTCTGGGCCGCTTCAACAAAAATGCGATATTTTGGGTGATTTTAAAATTGAAACGAACATCGAACTCAGAAGTAAGAGTTTATGTTACCGAATCGCCTTTACCTGCTTACCTATTTATTAAAGAGATCCTTTGAAACCTACGCGAAGAAGCAAAGTCATCATCAGCCAATTCGACACGTGTGTTAAGATTTCGGTAGTATGACGATCATTCGCATTCGTTGATAGCGAATGGCTTCGAGACCAGCTTACTTTGAACTCATTAGATTTTTTTAGTCAAAATGTCCTTATATAGTAAAATTATACTTTTAATCATAACTACAGTAGCCACATCACACCGGACCTACTGCTATTCGTATGTTACCGGCACGTTAAGTCCTGTTACTAAAATGTCAACATTAGGTAAACATACCTTGAACGTACACTTCCCCGAAAGTCTATTTGCCTGAGCGACAATTTCCCTTAAAATCGATATGACAATTCGTACTACGATCACCTCCGAAACAATCTAATTTGAATACTTCGTTCGCATGGATGTCGAAAAATAATAATGTTGTGTCGCATACGTTGTATACGCCAATGGTCGCATATGTCTGTATTCAAACAATTTAATCAACTTTTATTAAAAAAATCATTTATAAAATAAACTAGAGAAGTCGCTTTTCCTGCTTTCGAAAATGATATTTTTTTATAACACTTATTTATTTATTACATTTTAAGTTGATGAATATAAAATAATTTTGATGTAGAGGAATCGATAGTTGGTAGATACATTAAACATCGCTTTTGCTATACTCTAAGCTTTTGCTAAGTCCGAGTTAGTATATTTTAACTGCCTTTTTATTTTCTTTATGGGCAACTTTTTAAAATTACTATACAAATCTAAAAGATAAGAAAAACCGTCAAAATTGAGTCAGCCAACAAATTTATAATGCATTAGATGAAACTTCATTTGTATTCCGGTAGAAAACCATAATATTTAATTTTATCGTTGTCATCTCTTTTACTTTTGTTAAAAAACCGCAAACAAAAAACTTCAGATCCGTAATTCCCCTGGGTCAACACAATACCGGACTCTTTCTGTAGGTAGTCTGTCTTGCAATAAAAATAAATAAAAAGAAGTAAGAATTTAGAATAAATAAAGAGATTCGAAATTCATACTAACATCATGGAACTTAATACTAGTCAAAACATCATATTCAAAAGAAAAGGTTGAGCGGGGGCCCGCGACTTTGTCCGCGTTTACTTTAGTTTTCAATAATTTTCCGGGATAAAAATGATCCTATGTCTCAATCCAGGACATAAACTATATGCGTATCAAATTTCATCCAAAGCCATTAAGTATTATTTGTGTGGTTGAGTATGTTTGTAATACACATACTTTCATATTTATAATACAAAAATAGTTATTGTAGATTGTCCGGTTTTTTTTGTTACTTTGCATATTCAAATCGATAGAATAACCTTTCCAAAATCTATTGATGAAAATGTACGCGACAGTTTGACTTAATGTCATTGAACTCAAAATCGTAGATTAACATTAAATCATGATTAGAATGGCCGTTGAGCCGTATCGTCACGTGCTGCAATGTGGCGGAAAACTATGTGTACGACATTCGCCGAGGCTATAATATATTTTATTCATTTTGCTTTTAACAAATCAGCTTATCCCGTAGATATAAGTGACAACAAGTACTGCAATGATGGGTGCAATTTCACAAAATCCTTCATTGAATTTTTTTAAACTTATTTTAGTGGGCAGGGGGGGGGGGCTAGACCCGAGCAGCCACTGAGCCAGTTAGGCTCAGTGGGTGGGCGGGATTTGGGGGGAGGAGGAGTTCCACATAACCCCGTCTTTCACTCAGGGGCAGGTTTTGCGCATCACGCATTTTCATATATCACGCATTTTCCCTACAATAAAAAAGGTAGCGAGGGGCGGCTACAAAATCTACGAGGAGCGGCAGAAGTCTTAAATAGGCATTCCTTACTGAACTATATTTTAATTTGATTTAATAATTCTAGAGTGCAAACAGCCTAGTAATTGGCCCGGGGCGCCAGATTTTAAAATACGAGCCTGTTTTACGGTGTACCTATGCGGATACTGCTTAATAAACACGTCATATTAGTATCTGTTTACACTGCTCTTAACAAACAGCTTTGAATTATGAAGCAGAAAGGAACTAATATGCTGATATTTTATCGATTCGCGCCGGTCTCCATTGACGTCACACGTCGTTTTGTTGTTTACTTATCTTTTTAACGGCACAGTCATAGCTCGTGACTCACTCATTGATTGATATTTTGGTTGTAAGATGATTTCTTCACACGATACTACACGGTGCTTATTTCTTATTTACCTACAGAAATATTAATGGAGCTTTGTGCGATTTGTAGCGTTTCAGAAACAAATTTTTGTGTGTGTGTTTTTGTTGAATGTTTCCAAAAAACTTTTGCTGGGGACCCGGCTTTACGCTATACAATGCACTGAGTTCGCAGTCTCTATAAACACTTAAAAAAGATTGTATCAATTGCCATTATCAGCTGCTATAAATAAAGATAGCTTTTGGTCATTCAAAAGTTGTACCATGTCTCATCAAGTGACACTAATTTTAGCGGAGAATCCGCTATGCCCAGCCTTTCTTAAGAGCCCTTTTACAAAATTGCGCCGCTGCCGTACTGATCGGCGCGTAGGTAGATTTGCACTAGTATGTATGCTATTGCATTTTACGGGTGATGTTTCGAGTCCTTTATAATAATGATTAATGAACTAATTAAAGAAATATATACATATTTCAGTAGTTCAATGATGGTAGATTAGTTTTATGAAAGTTTTTGATAGTAATTCTATTTTATTCAATATCAAAATACGAGGTAAACCTGCATTATTTTTTGGGAAACTCACGGAGGTTAGATGTTTTTTTTTTTTGATAATTAATGAGATGGTAAATCAAAATTCTAATACATTATATTACAACAAAAACATATTTCTGATGACGTAGTAATTAATTTGATCTAAATTATTGATCATTATTGAGAGATTGAGGCGTTTGAAGTTGTGCATATTATCGTTTTTTTCCTTAAACTAGCCGCAGTAGAACGATCAGTACAAAAAAAATTAAAATAGTATTTGCAAATATTCTACATTAACTTACAATAGGAAGAATAAATTGACTGTTTACTTCTATTGAAAATAGTCAAAATATTTGCTAAGGGGGTAAACGAGGCGCTCAAAAATTACGATTTTTTGCAAAAAATGTGAAAGGCCTCTTAAAGGTGTGTTGGCGGCTTACCATGAGGCGGACCATTATGCTATATAGCCTTCTTTTTTAATAAGTAAAATCCAACCTCTTCCAAATTCATTCGTTCGTTAATAAACATAATTTCGGATTTAGTACTAGTACTAGGTACTCAATACTCAATTTAATCGGAAATAAAATAAAGGTCAAATTATAAGCAGGAAAAAAAATGCTAAATAGTTAAATACATATCCAGAAATAGACGTCCTTTTTCGACCATATCAATCGATGAACCTACCTAAATTAAGCGTGAAATCTTGTCCAATGGTACGAAACCCTTTTTATGCAAACCCAAATTTCGGTTGACCTATTGACTAATTTTCATATGCCTCAGAAGGGCACTAATTTCAAAACATGGGGTATAGATATAATAATAAAATGATGAGAGTTATTACGGTCATATTATTTCCTCTGCGGAAACAGGAAAATCTTTTTTGAACCGTCACCATTAACAATACAGTTTTACTTTATATTATTCATATAAAACTTATATTGTGCGATTTTTAACAAACGTACTTAGAGGTTATTTTTTAATCATGTTATGTTTATTGAAACATATTTCCTTTTCCGACGGTACGGCAGTAATTGCTATATTGCGGTTGCAAAAAGTACTTTTATGTATAGGGAAATTGGGGTGTTAATACGCCATTTTGATCGCTATTGAAGGATCCATTCTTTTTTCCATACAACTATGCCCAATTTAGTACCTCAAGTATTATCATGCATTTATGTGTAGAAAATAAGCCGAATTCATCAAAAAAAAAATTATCCAATTGTACCAGATAAAAATGTCGTTCAAACATTTAAATTAATGGCAACAATTAATAATAACAGTTAGCTACGAAATCACGTAATTTTTGATACAACCAATCACAATCAAGGAAATGAAGTTAAACCAATAGGATTAGCTGTCACCTGTCACTCAATGACCAATTGTGTCTAATTAATAACGTTTATTTATACGCAGATTTCCTATTTTAATTCATATATTCCGATTTTTTTATTGAATTTGATTGTATTTGTTTCTTAGGTTTTCACGCACATCACTCATTAAATAAAACTTGGTTTTCACGGGTTAATGCACGAAACTTTATTTATTTATTGACGTTTCGATTTTGATTGTGATTTTAATCAGTGGCATTTGAATTGAATCAAATTCAATAAAAATTGAGGTCTTATTAAATATCATTTTAGAGGTTTTTTGAGATAATTTGTACCAAGGTACAAAATTGGGCAAAAATCGAAAGTCTCCCTTTGGGCTTAGCGAAATTTTGTTTTTTGTAATAGCTTCTCCTCCACCTATGGTAGTTTCCAAGTAGTATCTTAAAGTAGTTTCCCTTCCACCTATGGTAGTCTGTTTTCAATGGTAGTTTTCTCCCACTATAGTAGTTTTTTACAGTAAGTTTTGGGTTTCAATGGTAGTTTTTTCACGCATGGTAGTTTTCTCCCATCCATGTTGGTTTTGGTTGGTAGTTTCCAATGGTATCTTTTTTAGTAGTTTCCCTCCCCCTATGGTAATTATTTTTAACTTCGTTCCAACCATGTTCCGAGATACTGTTTGCTTTTTTGTTTTGCATTTCGATATTGATAATGCAATCACAAACTTTAAATGCTTCGGTTAAGAACTAAGGTGACTGCTATTTCTGGTAGCCAGCCATGACTGTTTGTCTTATTTAGTTTGAATCCTAAATCATTTCACTTGGGTCAATTTAGGAACTCAATATACATTTTTGAAAAAACACCCATGGCAAAGGTATGTATTTAATATTACGGGGGGCTATCATCAGTAACGTAAAAAGCAAGCATCCGCTAGTGTAGTACCTAGTCAATCCTCCTAATATCAAAAATTTAAAAGTTTTTATGTTTGTTACACAATCACGCAAAAACTATTGAACGGATTTGAGTATTTGGTTCGCATGTAGTTTATATTACATAATACTTTTTATCTCAGAAAAGTGTTAGTATCCTGAACTTTATTATCATGACGACAAAACGATTATTAGGTTTAAGTTTTCTACTTTAATTATTGCGACAAGAAAATGCAATCACAAGGGGAAAGCACCAATTAGTACCTAATTTTGACTTGTATTTGCGTTGCAAATAAAACAAATTCATACCTACTTTTCCACCTGAATGATATAACAATCTGCAATTTAGATAAACGATTACGAAAAAATGTAAAAAAATCGTTTCGATGATTTACTCCTAGTGTTATCGACCTTCTGGGGAATCACCGAGCGGTCAGGCTGCTTCGGTGCCATAAATTAACATGTAAAAAGGTCAAGTGCTTACATTTAACGTGGTCAACCTTTTTTGTATGCATCCGGTTTCCATAGTTTGGTGATGCGGAAGGAACTTAGTCAAATGAGTTACTCTTTGTTGCATGTGTCGGTAAAATAGGAAGTTATATGAACCAAATTGTTCATAAACGTTCACATTATACAAAAATATTTTGCCTAGATGATTTGAGTGAACGCAAATATTTAAGAAACGTATTTTTCCATCATTAGTTTACTCAGGATATTGAACACTGACTGAAGAAAAATTATAATATTAAACTGCATGAATAAACTGAGTTGCCAGTCATTCGGAAAAAATCAAGATACGATCACCTTTAATGTTGAAAGAATTAAAATACAGTTTGTCTGTTTATTTTTGATTGAATCACTGATATTGTTGATTTGAAATAACGTAAATAGCTTAACCACGTCACAAAGACATTAGTTTGTAAAAATAACCTAAGCATCAATATTAAACTTTTTGTGGCACCTACGTCTTGAAAGCCAATACAAAAAAAGTTGCCTAAAACCAAGTAAAGCCGCTTTTATATGTTTTTTTATATAGATGTTCATTCTTTCAATCGTATATTGACCTTTCTTATTTTTCAATGGCAATCCACTTAGATGAGTTTTTTTGTTTGATACCAATATGATTATCCTTAATCATTGAAATACGGATGCAATTTATTGTAATGCACATATCCTGGAGAATTTGTCCCCATAGTCTGCAGAATCGTATCATCCAATTTAGGCATTATCCATTCATACAGATTCTTGGCATACAAAACTCATATGCTTCTAACTTACATATATGACAAAATCGCTCAACCACAGTCCCTTCGGTTAAAATTTGTAAATAATCTACTACTAATCTACATATCCCCATACTTCCTTATAATTTTATAGATTTTTCAATCGAATATTTATGTTTAGGAAAACTTTCACGCTGTCCTTTTCAATTACCTTAGTTAAATATTCTGTCATTCAAGATAAGCTACATTTATTTTTATTCAAATAACTTATTACTTGCATTCGTGATTTATTATTAAGTGGCTATGACGATTTTAAATGAGAGATTATTTACACTTCGTCGACTTTCGCACACATCTAAAAAGCACGTAATAAATAGACCATTTTTCTTTTTGTCAGTTTCTGCGTCGGCAGCGAAGGAGGTGCCTACGAGGGTCGTGGTTGGAAGACAAAGGGTATCCATGCTGGTCGCGCTAACGGCATCAGCGTGGGCATCTGCCTAATCGGTGATTGGAGATGTAAGTTTTGGCATACTATATACCTATAAAAACGAGCCTTCATATTGAGTAGGGAGGGTCAAGTGGTACACAAGAGTGTAACAAGGGATAATAAATAAATATTACCAACATCATCATCATCAGCCTATTAATGTCCCCACTGCTGGGGCACAGGCCTTCCCTATAGATGAAATAGGGAGATTGGGCCATAACCCACCACGCGGGCCCAATGCGGATTGGTGCTAACGACTGCAGATGCAGCCGGGGCCAGCGGCTTAACCTGCCTTCCGAAGCACGGAGGAGTTCGAGATAGTAAATTTTTGGTCACCCATCCAATGACCGACCACTGCAAAAGTTGCTTAACTTCAACGATCGCAGCCGAACGCGCTAACCACTTGCGCCATCGAGCTCCTCCAAAATATTTCCAACACCTACACCAATTAGCCTAGCTCCAAAGTAAGCACTGTAAGGCTTGTGTTATGGGATACTAGGGTAACGGACAGAATACTAAAATACAGTACATATATAAGTACATTTATATAGAAATACATATTAAACATCCTTGACTGGAGTACAATTGCTCGTAGTCATCACACAAACATCTGCCCCCACCGGGATTTGAACCCGAAACCTCTCGATTCGGCGACACCATGAAACCCGGCGTACAAACCACTCGGCCACGGAGACCGTCAACGCCTAAGGATACAGTCTAACAAGGGGTGCAGTGTAACTAGGGGTACAGTGTAAAAGTGTAAAATAAGGAATATGAGCTTGTCCCAACTCCAAATCACGACGTTTTCAACGTGGGACAGTGCAGTGCGGCATCATCATCAGCCTATTAATTTCCCCATTGCAGAGGCACAGGCCTTACCTATGGATGGAATGTATCTAGGGAGATCGAGCTGTGACCCTCCACGCGGGCCCAGTGTGGATTGGTGGGTGCTAACGACTGCAGGTGCAGCCGGGAGCAACAGCTTAACGTGCCTTCCGAAGCACGGAGTAGCTCGAGATAACAAGTTTTTGCCTACCCATCCAATAACCAACTATTTCGGAAGTTTAACTTCAAGGATCATAGCTAACTACCTGTGCCATCCAGCTCCTCAACTTCTCTCTAACACATATAACCTTTCTTTCACAGCTGAACTGCCACCTTCCATGCAACTTGAAACGACGAAGGCTCTTATCGAATCTGGCGTAGAGAAAGGCTTCATCAGACCAGACTACAAGTTGGTGGGCCATCGACAAGTGATGTCGACGGAGTGTCCCGGCGGTGCGTTATACGAACACATATCTGGTTGGGAACACTTCTCACCCACATTCGTACCAATGAAGGCTTAGAATTGGTTCCCAAGTATTTAATTGTATTAGTAAACATTGTTAGTAGAATAAGGCTCTTTGATATCGTAAAATGTCATTTGCATTTTTGATAGCAATTTGCATTTACTTCAATCTTGAAAGTGAAAAACTATAATACGAATTGAGTATAGAATATTTTTTTGTATAATTGAAAGACGTAAAGGTCACTTGCACCATTTCTTATTTTATTAAGACTAAAATTAAGTTTTACACATCATTCCGTATTTGTCAATTGTAAAAAGTCAAATTGAGGTAGAATGTGGCTTAAACACCCTTATAAATAAACAAGGAATAAGCTTAGACTAGTTGCACCGTGTTTTGTTCATGTCACTAAAATGCCATTTGTCATTCAATAGACAGAGACAAAACATGGAGTAACTAATCCAAGCGTAGTCTTAGGGTTACTCTAGGGTTAGGCTTTTAAACTTGAATTAACAGAATAAGAACTCTGGTGCAAGTGTGCCATAAGGCAATGGCTGTGCATGCATACACTTTATATATGCTTGCAAAAATAATCCACTTAGGCATGTGTTTAGTTTTACGTCTTACTGTAAGTTTATTTATAATACAGGTAGGTCCCTTTTTTGAATTTACTGTATCCACAGAACAAATTATTTATATATAATAATATATAAATTATATGGTTTTCTTGCCACAAATATGTATAAGTAATATATTTAAATATCGAAAGGAGTCGATTAATAATAAAATAAAAAATAAGTTATTTAGAATAAGATGAAGCAATATTCCAACTGTGATTCAAAATAAATAAGTACAATGTATGAAATAAATAGTAGTATAGATTTTCTTCTCTCACTTTCCCTTCCTTCCTAGCTTTTGAATCCTTTTTTTTATAATAATAATCCTTTTATATGTGGGCACCTAATTACGTGAACGACAAATGCTCTTAAACAAAATCTTGCGTATAATGTACTAGCCGCTCTCGCTTCGTTTCGGTGTAGAGCTGAAGTGTAGACTACAGTTTATGTTCTCAGGCTTGTATTATACACAATGACATTCATCTATGATTCTTCTTATACCTGCATGCAAAGTCTCAGCCCGATCGGTTTAAAATTGACAAAGTTTCATATAAACTTTCATTCCCTATTTTATCCCCTTGGGGGTAGAATTGATCAAAATCCTTTTTTAGCGGATGCATACATCATAACGTCTAAGTACATGCCAAATTTCAGCCGCTCCGTCCAGTGATTTGGGCTGTGCCTTGATAGATCACTATGTCAGTCAGTCAGTCACCTTTGAGTTTTATATATATAGATAGATTTAAGAGAGGTAGGCCACAGCAGATTTTCACGAATAAGGTATTTCACAAGTTTTTGAAAACGATCTCACGGCATTTACTAATATTTAAAGAGTCCATACAAAGTTTTTTTTTATTCTGTTGTGTAATTCAGTAAAAAAAAAACCTAAATAAAAATGCAATTTTGAAGTTGCCGCGAAAACGTTTCTCTGAACATTATGGCGTCTCACTAGTGTGTGACGTCATACGACTGTTATTAAAACGTCAAACAATACAAATGTAATGTCACTTTGGGCGGAAGTTTACTAGCGTGTGACATCAATTTAGTCTTGGCCAATTTCAAGCGTTTTCGTTCACGTGACCATGGAGCTAGAAAATCATTTATTTTCATTTAATGATTTTATAGAAAAGTTATTATATTCTTTAAGAATACTAAAATCGCTGCTATTTTTTATATCAAACACAGATGCCAACAATTGGTACATTATATTTCATACCGTCAAATAGCCTATTGGAGCGCCTGTCTGGGGAAGCAACCTCCGCGTTACTGAAGATCACGCTTAAATAACACTATCTACCTTTTCGTGGTGTTGTGTTTCTGCTAGTGAGTAGAGTTCCAGGGCTCGGCGGGAGAAGGGATTGGATTCAGGCCAGCTAGGTTCTGCCGCATCATCTAGCTTAACGACTGGACTCCAATTACACTTAAAATCAGGTGGGGTATGGTAATGTATTGCGCCTTGTATAAAAAAGTTCTTTGTGCGACCATTGGTTAGTTGCTTCCCTAGGCGGACAGAAAAATCCTTCAGCTCTCTTCAAAATATGTCTAAATAAATTAATGTATTTAAAAAAAATACAGTAGGATATAACATTGCCAAGCTTTACTTATTATACTATAGGTCGCCGCACACGGGCCACACGCCACAGCCACAAACGCCACGAAAAACTAGAAGCTGCTATTAAAGTGGCTGAAGCGCGCGACAGCGGCCGACTAAGGTATGGGAGAGAGGGGTGGGGAATCGCACGAGTGACGTGTAGCGGCGTTTTGTATCGGCGCATTAAGTGGCTGATGCGGGCCACAAGAAGCGAGCAACGACGATTTGTAGCGTGTGGCGGCCACTGGCGTACTGTGTGTGTCGAGTCCATATAAAATGTATGAAAACTACAAGAAATATGCCGGTGGCGGCGTTTTGTGGTTGTGGTCGGTGGCCCGTCTGCGTCGACACTTACAATTAAATATGGCGTGATCCACTTTCATAATACGTAGTTTTTTTTTTATTTGAATAGAACAATATTCAGTAGCTATAAAGAGAGAGATAAAGTTGTAGTAAGTAGCTGAGGAATTGAGTACTTGATGCTGCGGCATCACCTTGTCTCAATTCCTCAGTTACAGCAGATGTAGTGTGTTTGGACTCACAAGAATGATCACAACGAATTGACTCGTAATAAATAAAAATAAATTTTAAATTTAAAAACTCCCCGACACTCAATCCCGCCTGTGGGACACAGAACATGAAACGGAAAACTCCCTATCTCATTAACATTAACTTTATCTCTCTCTTTATAGCTCAATTTTAACATTGTTCAATTCAAATTAAATTATTATATAATAAATATATATATTTATTTATTTTATTATACAAATACAATCATGCACATACATATTTCAAAAACCATACACAAAAACCTGTTAAGGTTTATGTGTGTATGAGAGCTTCTTCTATAATTTATTAGCCAAAAAACACTTTAGGCAAATATGCGTCCGATTATCCGATCTGTAATCGTAAGCTATGGCGGCCGCTTACCATCAGGCGGGACATTAGTTTGTTAGCTTTTAAAAGAAAAAAATATCTACGGTTAAATCATCATTATCAGACTACGTCCCCTCTGCTGGAGCACAGGTATAGGCCTTGTCTACGCATAGGGAGGCCATGACAAGACCAACCATGCCAATGCAAATTGGTGTGTGCTAACAATTACAGATACACCAGGATAAACGGCTCAACGTGCCTTCATGAGCATGGAGGAAAACGAAATAATAACAGCGTCGCACAGTCTGCGACAGCCGACCTGCTTTGCCAGATGAGGAAATTAAAAAGTCAGAGGCGGCGTAAGGCGTGGGCGACGTGGGCCACCGCCTACGGCTTCGCGGTACAAGGGACCTCGCCCCCCAAAATATTTTTATGCATTGCTTAAAAGCGATTTTTTTTTTATTATTTTATAAAATCCATCTTCAGGTCGCCACAGAACAGGGCCTCGCGAAATCTGTCTTGCCCACATCAAATTTAGGTCTTGCCCCGCCACTGCAGATCGTACCATATTTCCGCTTTTCTACCGCCTTTTTGACAATGGATCCGCTTTTCGCTTTTTTTTTTAATCTACTGGAACAATCTCTATTTTCATTATGGCAATTGTACCGTGCATGCCTTACTAACGTATACGTTTAGGTATATGAGATAATAAATTTAATTTTAGGGTGTAAATCGTATGTGCTCCATAAAATAAGCGATACAGCACGGATCCATTGTCAAAAAGGCGGTAGAAAAGCGGAAATTTGATATGATCTGACAACACTGCATCCGACACATGCAAAGTGACCTGCCTGTTTAGTGACGCAAAATCCTATAAGTGCTGCCTAGATTATAATGTTTGGTACAAAATTCATGTAACGAGTACATTTTTCTCCCTGAACAAAAATATTGTATTGTATTTTTAAAATACAAATTTTTAATATCTCTCTAGTTCCAAAAGTTAAGTATCTAAGCCGTTTGTCCCGGCTGCATCTGCAGTCGTTAGCACCCACCAATTCGCACTGGGCCCGCGTGTTGTGTCATGGCCCAATCTCCCTATTCCATCCATATGGAAGGCCTGTGCCCCAGCAGTGGGGACATTAATAGGCTGATGCTGATGTACGCTTAGTATTGTGACGTGCCTGTGGAAGCGTCGTTTAGCCCCGGGCAACTTTATATTTTAATTGTAAATAAAACTATGAGAATATTTTTTTCATAAATTCAACAATTAATATGCTATAGCTTAAACCGCATTATATACTTAATCTCAGTTTATAAGTTGTTGTTTAGACATATGGAAACCTTAACAGATAACTATAATAATTCATAGTAATTAGTTATCATGGTGCTCAAACCTTTGTGTACTACATTGCCTAGTGGGAAACAGAGCGCCTTATATTTCCACACAGCAAAATTATAATTAGCTTAGTTTGTTTTTCAACCGACGAAAAATACGAAGGAGCATCACGCATAAATTTTTGCAGAGTAGTCCTATTTTGATCTTTTTTTTTTATTGGAACGGATATACTCGAAAGTTGATCCCATTTAAATTTGAAAAAAAACACAATAAAATATCTACGGAACTCTACACTGCGCGTGGCACGACACGCACTTGGCCGGTTTTTATTGGATAGGATATACCTCAACGTTGGTCCTAAATAAATTAGGAAACAAAAATCCCACCATATTCGTGGGGAAATAGTGGTGATTGTTCACTCACAGATTTGATGCCGAGTTGTATTTTATAAAAACTAAAGCCAGAATTAATAATAAAATATAATCTTTTTAACAAAAATATTGAACCACCGAACAAACTTCAAAGCAGAAAATAATAAACCTTTTTTATCTTTAGTCAAATTAATATTTGGAGTCGGTGCCATGCCAACCCAAATGACAACTCAGATCTTTCAGACGTAACACCGACTCCAAATATTAATTTGACTAAAGATAAAAAGGTGTATTATTTTCTGCTTTTCAGTTTTTTCAACGGTTAAATTGGTTTGCTAAAAAATTCTTGGCTACTTATTTTTGGAGGTTTAATTTGGCGACAAGTTCTTAGGGGTTTTTTATTATTACGAAAATAAAACACC